AGGAATCTGAAAAGGCTTGTAACATCTTTAACTTTCTTCTAGCTCATCTCTGGTCTGAGACATTTAGTTGTATGAACATGAAATGCCACCAATACGATCATATTTTATAATAACTTACTTCATAATTTTGAAGCGAACGTTTCTGGACACAGGTTTAGGCAACAAAAAAGGTTTAATGAAAGAATCCCAATATTGAAGAAGGTCACTGTTCATTTTTACTTCAAATGGCGCAGGATTTTTCCTGCTAGGTTACCATGCCAACATGTTACCATAGCAGTAAGATATGGCTTAGGACTTCCTACTACTTCAGATTTGTTAATAGTCTTGTTGATAAAACCAAAATTTCCATTACATTGTGGCCTCTAACCGGAAACAGTTGTATGGCTGTTACGTGGAATACTCTTGCATACCACTATGAAAATCTTGTAACAGTTAAATTTCGGTTTTGTCCTCATGCGGCATCAGATAACAACACAATAGTTTTAATGGTAGAAAATTTACTTATCTGTATTCTAATACAATCAAATAAAAAAGATACCACAGAGTTAGGATTTATGTTTCCATCGCACTCAGTAAATGTATAGCAATAACTAGAGTCGTCGTTAATAACATGAATGTTAAAACAGTACAACCAAAACATTCTTTTGTAAAATTGGGTATTGACGTTTAGCTTTGGTATTGGGAAATTTTGAGAATAGTCGAACTCCAAAACCAGATGCGAGGAATTTTCTTCTTTGGATTTAGCAATATACATATCACGCAGTTCTTTTTTTATTTGCTTTTCTTTTGTGGATTTAAAAAAAAGGCATACATGGGTGTTTATCATTGATATTTAGCTTGATCTTACATTCTTGGCAATAATTGCATACATCTGTTTTAGGTTTGCGAACAGAATAGTAAAACTTAGTTTTAAAGTACTGATAATATGTTTTATAACACATCTTGAGAGTTTCCTTTTTTCTTTCTTTAAAAAAGGCGTGGAACAGCCCATACAATGATTTTATATTTAACAAAGTGTTGTCAAAATATTGCAAATTACTCTTGTTTCTACAGTAATAACTTTCATCATGGGGTATACTAGCCAGGTGATCCCCCATTAACACAACAACATCATCTAAAATGTTGCTGGGCCTATTCAAATGTTTTACTCCATTTTGTTTTAACGACTCTCCCAACAAGATCTTTTTTTTAATAATCCGTATGCGCTTTATTAAAATTTGAAACAAGTCCCAAATAAACTTGCGACACACTAGAACAGTGTTTCCTCTTACAGACATACGATACACCCAGGTGTGATCTGTTGGTTTTTTTAGTTAAGAGATTTTCTTTTACTTTTGGGATCTTTAGCCAGGTCCATACAGCTAGACAACTGGCTATCTTGAAGACTTTTGTTCTGGCAGTTGTAAAAACAATCAAACAGTTCTATTTAAAAATCAGGGGGCAGATTTTGGTGGCATTTGTTCTGGCAGCAGTCATATACTAAACTAAATGACTTGGAACTAACCTTCTCTCCTGACACAGATACGTATTCTTTACCTTAAACACGCCTTAATTTATTAATTTCTTGTTTCTTATCTTTCTGTTTATGGATCACTTTCCTTTTCGTCTTCTCATTAAAGCTATTAACTTCTTGAATAGCTTCGTAATCACTGTATTCTTCATGACGTATCGTAGTCCGTATCAGAATAAAACTCGATGTAATAATATAATAGAATAAAACTTATTAGAATAACAATACCGATACTTTAACCTCACTATAATATAATAATATTATATGACACATTACAAGTAATCGAAACAAATGAGAAGAGATGAATAGCACTCCTATACAAAACACCTGCAGGAATCGTTTATAAACAATCACAAACCTAAAAAAAGATCCTGTACACTAATATTCAAACAGTTCCACCAACCTCATTTTTAAAGATAAATAAATGAGAATTGTACCATTGTAAGGAGAAATCATCACGGAGCTAAATAGACATTTACGTAAAAAGGGCACATAAGCCTATGTGCCCTTCTCACGTCGACCGCCTTAATTATAAATCTAGATAAATTATCGATCATAGTTGTGTTAAACTTGATGTAGATTTATTGTAATTAATTTTTTTATTAATAAATAATGTTAGAGTGTATAATATCCGGATATAAACAAAACTACTAGCATAATTTACATAATATTTTATTATTGTGGGGTGACTCCTTGATCCCGGGCATTCAATTTGTGTAGTTCCTTGAAACTAGAGATTTTCTGACAAATTTGTTGCCTTGGTCGCTTTTTTAGTTTTCTTTATACCATTCACGCAGCAAATGGAAGGGTTAAGGCCAACACCGTTACTTATTGTACCTCCGGCATTAATATTTTTGTGCTACATTCACTATTACCTGCTTGGTTGATGAATATCTGCTTATATTTTTCTTTTTTTTTTTTGGTTGTTTCCCATTTTCATAGACATTTTCATTTTTGTTCTTTTCTTTTTCCTACTGCTTGGTCTTTATTAGTATGGGGCATTAACCTGGCACTAAATCCAAAGATTCGGAATAAAAGATCTGCTATTCTTTCGTCAGGATAATCACGTAGTAAGTCACAAGGACTGGTAAAGATCGCTATGTGGTGTTAAGCTCTTACAGTTCTAACTCAACTCGTGTTCAGATTTGAAGTAGTTCGTTGCTTGCGGCCTCACATAAGGTCTGTTAGCATTATTCTGAATTATGCGTTGATTGGAAATGGAACGCTTTTAAAAATACGTTCTGAAGGTCGGTTCACATAACAATAGCATAAAATAAACATAACATGTTTAGTAATTATTATACTTATATCTCGTTACGGTATTGACCCAATTTTAATCAGAAAAACAAGTAAATACTTAAATTTAAACTACGAATTATTGAATACCGTAAGGGTTGGTTTCTCTTACATTACACCTGTCGGAGGTATTCACAGACTACTGATGCTTCCTTTCATACCTCGTAAGGTTCAAGAATGCGGACTCGAACAACTGACCTTCCAGTAGCTTGGTTGACAATGTGGTAAAATCTATAAAATGAAGTATGGGAATGCAAGAATCAGACAGAAGAAAGGGCCCCCTTTTGAGAGGTATTATTGAGAGATGATAGAGTGTGGATGAAACTACATGGGCTAGGACTTGTGCTTTTGTAAGAACCGTGTGGGCTATTACAAGCGTGAACAACATATGAGATGTAAGATGAGCGTAGCGGTGAAAACATGCTCCCACCAGAGGTGTCTCGGTCTACACTTGTGGATCACAGTGTGGTTAAGTTTAAGAAGGGTTTATTATGTAGGATCTCGCCTCGACAAAGATTGCGGTTGAGTGCGATACATGTGGTGCGCCCGACAGCCATCTCAGTGGCGGTAAAATAATCCCACATAATCAGGGACCATGGTATCTTATAAAGATTTCTGTCCTTTTCAACTTATGCAGTTAAAAACTGTGTAGACGCATAGAACTGCATCACTTGGCCTGCTCACATAGAAGTTGCCACTTCTGTTGATTCCCGGCAACTTCTTTACATCTTCTGACCCTTAGAATCTGTAGGTATTCTTTCACATAATCAATCCCTCTCCTTATATCCTACCTATATCTCATATAGTTCAAAGTTTTATCTTCGATGCCATAGCCCATTTTCAAATCCGCATTGATATTGACTAACAATATCCTTTGTAAAAGTCCTTCAAATAATACATTGCCAAAGATTTTATACGCAGATGCTAACAGAGTAATGCCTCTATAGTTCTTACACTCCAGTTGATCACCCTTTTCATGCAACGGACATATTTTTTGCTTTAGCCACTTTGCTGGTATCAAATTAATTTTGCCATATAAGTACTATTAGTTTATAGATTGCTGCAAAGAGTTGATCACTACGGTCTTTATACATTTCCAAACAGATTTAACAAATTCCTGGAGTTTTATTGTCTTTGAGTTTTTGGATGGCATGTGACACTTTTTCTCTTGTTGGGTCTTTACTGTGTAGTTGATATTGTATTGATTGTCTATGTTATACCTCCTTTAATATCGTTTATATTTAGATGTTCGCTGAAATGTTGAGCCCGTCTGTTAAAAACTGAGTTTTTGTCATATTGAATTTCATCGTTAATATCTTTACAAATTTTTAATCTTGGTTTAAATACTCGACGATTATTGAAGAATTTGTAGTATTTCCTCGTTTCATTTATATCGAATAAACTTTGTATCCCATTGAGAGTGTTCTATTCGTATTAATTCTTCTTACGTCGATGGATGTGCTTTTCCTCTTTTCTAAGATGTCTATGCTCTTCTGTTTTTCTCTGTGTACAACCCGCCTCGATGTTTTTTAATATGCTGTGTTCTTTCTATTTGTGGCCTTCTCCCCACCATGATCAAACCAATGATTTCTTTTTACCGATTTATGTAACACAATATCTCGCATATTTGCCCATAGTTGGTTAATGTCTTCTTCTGCTTCTAAGTTTTTTGGCCTTATGTGATCTTCTGATTGCTGTCTGTATAGATTTGCAATGTGGGAATCTTTTTGTTTATCAGTATCGATTTTTTCTCTTCTTCTTTTCCCGATCTTTTTTTTTTAAATTGGACATTCTCTCTTTAAATCGTGCTTTAACTAAATATTGATTACTATCTATGTTTATTTCTTTCAGAGCCTAACATCTAAAAAGTTACAGCTGCGTCTTGCATCGATGAATATATGATCTATTTGGGTAATCGTTTTACTCTGTAGAAAAAGCTGTATTAAAAATGAGTTGAAATAACTTTTGTTTAAGTCTTGAAAACAATATTTTTACTGTGTTTCTCTAAGATACAATTAAAAGTCTTTTATGATGTATACAATTTGTTTCAAAAAATATATTAAAATTCCTTAGTTTATCGTTTGTGTAACTTAACCTATACACAAACTTTGATTGTATTGTAATATACCAATTACCTTTCCAAGTTGATGCGGCTTTTTGTACATAAAAAAATTACTGGGGACAAAAATTTCACCTTAACAAATATTTTCACTATAATAGATTTATCAGCTTCTGAAACTACAACCAATTTTTGAAAGGATCAAAATTGGATTAGTATTATTTGACGGATGTTTATATATTTTTTTGTTATTTTAAATTTATTAGATCGTATATTGAGATTTAATGAAAGGCTTAATTGGTTAAGCCAATCTCTGCTACCTAGAAGCAATTAATTACGAACGAAAACTAAAATAAATTTTAATTCTAGTTAAAGCCGTACAGTTGCGAAAAGTTTCCATTTTCTATGAAACTGATTTAGATTAAAAAAGTCACCGTTCTATAGTGTCTGCACTCCGTGCTCGCAATAGATAATTCTGCTGATTTTTCAAGCGTATCTCATAGAAAAACTTTCCTTTCAGTTGGTTCAAATCGAAAAATACCTCGCAGCGATCCCCAAGTTTTTCGTGGTAGTTTCAATAAAACCACCTGATTCTTCATGTTCTCTTCGCATGACATTTTTTCATTAGACTTTCTTTTAGTAATTCCTGCTTTTATTGAGAAATTCTTGAAGCGAAAAACTGAACCTCAGGACGCATTTTTTAAGAGTTACAATCTCTAGTCGAGAAGTACGAGAGTCAACAGGAAAAGAAAATCCAAAGAAGTAAGAAAGAGGGATAAGCTGGATATAGTTTGTTTTCGAGAGGTTTTATTATGTTACATTTGTTAGAAGTGGTAAGATATATCATTATAATTTCACCATTTAATTATTTGTAAAAACGGTAATTTATATAACAAATGCAATTAATGTATAAAGTGAATTAAATTTTATTTTTCTTTTTACAGAATATTCTACATTTTTTGTGAATAAAGAAGAATTTTTTTGATGATAAAGGCCATGTCATACTTTCAATTGAATATGTTTTAGGTGGATAAAGGTGTTATCTTACATTTTTGATACATTTTAAGGTTATGTTTATAATGTGTTTAAAAAAATTTTTATTATTATGTAACAGTTAAGTAATTATAATTATTCAATTAGTGTTAAGAGAAAAAGACGAGAAAATTTATTCGTCCAATCACAGTACGTTATTTTTGTTGTAAAAGTTTAAAATTACGCCTGCTAAGGGGATTTTTTTAGTAGTTGTTAAGCCCTTGGCATTAAACACGTTTAAAGCTTAATAAGTACATATCGACGCTTGAAAGGTAAAACAGCTAATACGCCAATTGTGAATTTTACAGGAGAACCGTTTAAAGTTTGAAATTTTGAAAAAAAAATCATAATTTTTGTTGTAAGCATACTATCTTGACAAATCTTAGGAAAATAAATGTTATATAGTAGAATCCTTTTATGCTGTAAATTTCTAAAAGAAATATTATCTAGTTTTAAAATTAATGGCGCATTATACAAAGTGATTCTTGAATGCAAACAGGAGAAATGTATTATAAACATGATGCATTACATAACCAGGTAACTGAAAACGGCTAATTTACCAAATATGAGTAACTTTGTGAGAAGGTGAAATGTTTTATAATGTATTTATGTTATGAGATGCATGCTATTAGAAGTGTCTTTTGTGAAAATTACAAGAATATAAGTCAAGAACATAAGTCGGTTTAAATTCTAATATTATTGTATTATATTTATTGCATCATTATTAGATATTCTAGACATTTTACATCAAAAGACGAAAAGAAATAGTTCAAGTTAATGGAAAATACTTTATTACTACGAAAAAAAAAAAGGTTTTTTGAGGTTTTTGTGACAAAAACAATAAAAAACACATCAGCAATATTAAAGTTGAAGTCCATCTTCTTCGTCAGTTTCTGGAAGGACATCATTTACACTATTACCTCTAGGTAGATTTAAATATTCATTATGATATTGCAAGGGTATTACATTCGAGTGGCACAATTTATTCAGATCGTTATATTTTTGTTTGGAAATTGACAAAATGTTGGATATAAGTTGCAATTTGGTGGATTCTTTACTTTACCGCTGATTTGTATGATCTCCTCTTGAACATCTGAAGCCATTGAAAACTTTGCATACATCTTAGTTGGTTCAGACTTCTTGAATGTAGCGACTCTTATTTTACTTATTTTTCCTGCAAGATTTCCTTTAAAATATTTGTCTGATATGTCATCCCATGAAATGAAATCTTTATGAAACATGGGGTGAACTGCATAAGGTTCAGGAATGTTACGAGCTAATTCAAAAACAGTTGGCCATTGTGAAGGTGCCCAAATAATATGCTTAGCTACGCTTTTTTCTATGACAGAATGCATGCTGTCAACTGGCATGTAGGAGTGACCTGGCAGAAGATAATTAATCTGGATCACATTTATATTTTTGCAGGACATCAAGTTGTAGTGGAGAGAGGCCAAAACAGTACGGTTCTTATTTTGACCTGGGCATGAGTCACAATAAAGCAGTAGTTTCGTGATTTTCCCACGGTCATCAATTTTTTTCATGAACGATACTAGACATGTGGCTATTTCGTTAGCTCCTCTCTTTCCTTGGCTTTCATTCCAATAATAGCAGTGGCCTTTCCTTGTTGTACTTTCATAGAAAGTGAAGTTATACAACGCCAATTTTCTGGAGTAATAAAGTAACATACTTTCTCCGTACGGTGTATTTAAAACTTTCTGTAAGTCGAAGGAGACACACAGGATACTTCTATTTTTCTCATGAATTTTTTGGTGATATTCAAATCTCTTCTTACTTTCAACTTTTTCTTTATCATGTTCTTGCTTTGCTACTTCAGTTTCCGGTCTAGGGTTGTTTTCAAAACCAACACACTTGACACATTTGTCTTTCTTGGGAATATGAATTCCGATATTGAATTCGTTCGTAAATATTTTTCTAAATAACCTCTCTGACACAACATCTATACATGTTTCTATTTCTCTTTTCTTATATAGATTATAAAGATTTGTAATATTCTTAAACTCATTGGGCAAATAAAGTTTGGTGGAGTCTTTTCTTGCATAGTGTGACGGCACTGCTGGCAAACTTGTAATGAAGTTTCTTACAGAGTTCAACACTTCTTCTTTTGTTTTATTCGGAGGGATAGTTTTTCCTCGCATATCCTCCTTTCCCAAACCATAACAAGCATTAGAGAGTGTGTAATAAACATATCTTTGTGATACATTCAAAGTAGATAATAAAAACTTCAGACAAACTTGACGTTGTCCTTCACCTTCATTAATAAAATATAGAAATGTATTGGACTTTCTGCTTTCATGTTTTACTCTCTTTCTCAGATTCTTTCTTTGACATTGAAACAAGCCAATCGCGACGTCGTTGTGGAGATAGTGACCAAAAATAATTAAATATATTCAATCTTCTTTCCTCAGATATATCGTCACAGCGATTAGTGCATTTCTTTGGTTGACATGGATTTGGTCCTATTTCTTTTGCTGGAACTTCTATGCCATTTTTTTTCTTATATTGTTTGCCACTTCGATATAGTTGTTGCCTTTCGCTCGCTTTATTAGGCCGATTTTTCTTATATGCTGATTCTCCCACTGTTCCATATTCAGCAGCAACCGCTTTTGTTTTCTTCTTTTTCCTTTTCAATTTCTTTTTGGCTGCTGTTTCCTCTGTACTATCTTCTTCCTCAGACGAACCTTCCCAAGAACTTGAATCGCAGTCGTACTCTAAAATTCTTTCTTCTTTATCTAAGAAGTCTGTATAGGCCGATTGCAAAACCATTTTACGGCTACGAAAGTTAACTACCTTGCTAGGTCCAGATGTGGTATCATCAGCTGAAACGTCTCCGGCATTACCACTATACAAGTCTATACTCACGGTTTCTTCAAGAACTGGTGAATTTTGAACATCTTGTACCAATCTTTGATTTGTATTGAAGTAATTTTGCTGGTCAACTGGGGTGTCAATATCCAAACATTGATTATTATTTGAGTGGATCTGCATTTCTTGGGAAACTATTGGTAAACATTCATCAGTCAATAGTGAATTTTCAGGAAAAACTTCAGTGACAATAGCAGGAGCAACTAATGCAGATGCATTGTTTTGAATTGGTTGTAAATCTGTATAAATTGGCGACGCCTGATAAATAAGTTCAGAGGAACAATCAGGTACAGGTTGGCTTTGTTCTAAATAATCCATACAAGTGTGGCTGCAAGTATTTAAATTATGTTGTTCAATCTCATTTAAAGAACCAGCAGCGTGATATAAACCCGTGATCTTCTCTGGATGTAGTTCATAATTTATTACTGATTTGGTGGGGGACATTGGTGCATTAGTTAATTTTAGATAATTAGAACCCTGACTGCAAGATTTCGACTCTAAAGGCCTTTCAGCATTTTGAGCAAGTACATTAGTGGCCTGGATTACCTTTGTGGATGAAGAACAGCTTGTTTGAAGATCTATAATGTTCTTTCTGTTTTGAACTATTTTCATAATACGATCTGCTCGCGACATTTTTATCTGCAAAAAAAAATTCTTTGAAAGTAAAAACAACCTTCTTTAAGTTATTATATTTTTTCAAAATGACACTTATAATGTTTCTAAAATAAATGTTCGATACTAAATTTGAATACTATCTGTAAATGAATATTACTGTTTTTTTATTCTTAATATAAGTTAGTACTGTCACAAATTTCACTTTTAGTAACAAAAATTCAGAGGATTGGCTCTGAACAGAGTAATGACAAGAAACAAATAAATTATAAAGCATTTTTATAGCTTTTATGACACTCTCAAATTTAGCTGCCGTACATCTTTCAATATTTTAAACTTTAGTGTGAGAATACTATGTATAAAAATTAAATGTTTTTATTGCCAAGACTGAAATTCTCTTGAGCACCAAATAAGGAAGAAATGTGTCTAAGAGATTTATAATAAAACATTTCCCATTTGCCGCGAACATTTTGGCTCACATTGTGTACCTACCATAAAATAGAGTTTCTGTAGGTGAAGTAGGAATTGAAACAATTGTTATTTACTTATCAGACTTATGTTATTAATATTTTATGAGTGTTTTTTGCAAAATATGTATTCATAAACCATGTCTTTACTTCTGTGTTGAGGTTATGTTTGAAATTTTAAAAATAATAAGTATAATAAGATTAATAATAAAAATCTAACTACAGAATATTTATAATTTAAAACGAAACACTTACCTTCATGAACGAAAAAAATGTATTTATTACACCATACATAAACTGACCGAGAAAAATTAGTTGTTTACAAGCCGAATAATGCAAGACTGGCCAAAAGTATCCGTTAGAACGTTAACATTGCATATTTTGTATCATGAAAACAAAGTGTAAATTGTTTAAAATGCCTTTTATCTTTGGAAGGACCGTCTTCGAAGTAGATAATGTAGCACGTGTGATATTATTGTAAACAGATAAAATGTATAATACGCCATCTGTACCCGTAACTGCCGTAAACAAAATTGTTTTAAGCACCACTATGCAATATAATACCATATGAAATGACTAACACGGCTTCAAGGCTCTAATATCTGAAAGTAAAATTGACTTATTTGCTAGAAGTAAACTTGTTAGGTGTGTTATACGACAGATAACATATTTTTGTATTAAAATTTGGAGCATAAGACACAGTTGCTTTCAAAACCATCCTAAAAATAAAATGTTTAATACGCCAAAAAAGTAGTTCAAACAGGCTAAATTCCCTTTGTACATACATAGAAAAATTCACTGAATCTTATCGTGTATAAAGTCTATTTTGCAAAAAGTGGCGTATTATACATTTTACCTTTCAAGCGGCGATATTACTATTTCGGTTTAAAAACAAAGTGTTTTTTCTTCTAAATATGTAATTGATATTTTAACAAGTCGTTTAAAATTATGGCATACCTATTTCAATAAATTTTAATAAAAAATTAGGGAAAGGTGGAGGAATATTAACTAGTTAAGACAAAAATGTTATAGACTGTTTGCCATAGCTTTTACGAGTTTGAAACTTATAATATGGACATTTATTTTATTCAGTTAACCCAGTAATTCTCGACCTGTGGGGCGCGCCCCTGTAGGGTAACGCGGTATTATTAATTTATTAATGGGGGGGTGGTGGGTGGGGGGCGTGAGCCTATTTGAAAAAAACATCAACAACATTGACTAATTTACTAAACTCAAAGCAAAACAAAATTCTTACAAAATAAAAAATAAAATACACATGAATACTGATATAACAGGTATAATTATAAAAGCACTGAACACTAAATTATGAACAAGTTTAATAATAAATCAGTGACTTCCTTGAGCTTGTTTTGTAGACAAAGTTTATCGAAACGGGGTGTAATATTAGAAATAGACGATCTTAGTTATTTTTTTATATTTAGCTGCGATCCATATTTGGTCTTTAAAGCAGCCACCGTGCTGCTTTATCATCATTTACTCCTGCCCAAAATTCAAAGATTTGCCGTAAAGTCAATAAAGGTTTCTTCTTCGGCAGTAGAGAGCCCTTCAGGTGTAATTTGGAACGGATACCTAACCCACTCGTAACTACGTGTTAATTTGTCGTCGGCAAAAAAATATCTTTTTAAATTTTTAGTCAGCATCGCTAAATAATTTTCAATGGTTACATAAACATCTTTCACGTGTTGTACTTAACCTTGTAAGTTTTAATACATTTATCCACATTTGCAAACATTTCTAGGTTTTTTGCTTTAAATTTCTGCTCCACAAGTCCAATTTTTTACAAAGACCATTAACTTTATCATTCGTATCCAATATAGGTCTATTAGCTCCTTGAAGCTGAATGTTCAAAATATTTAGTTTCTCGAATATGTCAACCAAGTAGCTCAATTTCATCAAAAATAAACTATCTCGAAACATCTCGGCTTCCGATCTATTTTCTTCTTCTAGAAAAATAGCGATTTCATGTCTTAATTCAAAAACATGTTGTAAAAATTTCCCACAGGATAACCATCTTACCTCACAATAAAATAATAATGCTTAATGTAATGCACCCATGTCTTTACAAAGTGCAGAAAAGATTCTGGTTTTCAAAGTTCTCATTTTTATGTAATTAACTACGTTGTTAGCACAATATTCAGGCCAGGAGACATTTCTTTGGAAGTCAGAGCTTCACTGTGGATCATACAGTGTGTAGATATAAACATTGGAGACTTTTGTTTCATGAACACTTGTAGTCTATGAAATTTTCCGGACATTGCACGAGCACCATCTGTGCATATTCCGACTCAATTCTCCCACTCTATTTTTGCTTCATTTATATAATCGTTTAAGATAGCAAAAAATGCGAGCGACGTTGCTTTTGGTTTTATTAGTTTGCAAAAAAGTAGTTCTTTGACTAATGATATGCCATCACAAAATCGAACATAGGCAATAAAATGAGCATCTTTATTGCTATCTGTTGCCTCGTCAAGCTGAATCGAAAACAGCTTGTAGCGCAACTTCCTGAGTAGCTGATACTGTACATTTTCAACTATATCAGAGAACATACGAACACATGCGTTCGTAGTTCTCTGACTATATCACAAATTCGACGGGCAACAGTATCATTTGATAGAGGTATAGACTCCAATTTTTTGGCAAAATTATCTCCAAACATAATTTCTACAATTGGAATTGTAGGTGGCAAAATAAGCTCTTCACCAATAGTGTGAAGCTTTTTACATTTATCTATTTGATGGGAGGTTTTATAAGAGGCAAGTAAAGCTTTCTCATCTACAGTCAAAGTTTTTTTAAAAATGATTTTTGTTTTTCATGTGATTTTAATTTTAACTCGAAGAATTCTCAGTAAACATAAACCCAAAATTTAATTAATCATGAGAATATTTTCTTGATTTTATTTTTGGAACAACTGTCGCCTGTACACTTGTTGATGCTTTACTAGTATCGAATGCTCGCTTACGCCCAGTTAAAAAATGATCCATGATTTTGTATAAATTTAAGTATATATACCTACTGCTTGGAATATTTTAATACCGTGAACTACAATTAATACACGCAAACTACAAAATAACCATTCACTATAAATTTAACGGGTGCAGAAGGACTGACTGGACTGACTAAACTGACTAGACTGAGGTCTGGGTAGCCAGAGAGACTGGCTAAAAAATTTGACAAATAAATATACTTTAATAACGATAAGGTTTGATTGTCTGTATGGCACTCAAGTGTGTAAAAAGTGCCTTAAAAAAATTTCGGTACCACCATTTGTTCCTTATTTTCTAATTGTTTTTATTGGTGTTGATGTTAAAATGGTCGAGTGTTGAATTCGTTGGCTTCTAGGTTTTGTATAACTTCTGACTGGTAGTGCTGGTAGAGGGCACTGGGGTTCACTGAAAAATATACGAGATAAGCTTTCATTCTTTTGCTGCACAGATTTATCCTTATCGTCGCTCAGATCAATGTCTGAAATTTATATATATATATATATATATATATATATATATATATATATATATATATATATATATATTTTAGTGGATTCTCTTGGGCTTAGGTTCATAAAAAAGAATTTGTTTGATACTAAGACATTTTTATATATTTTTTTTCCGACGCTTCGGGAGGAAATCCATGCCTTTTTCAAGAAGTGATATTGACAAGCATGTAAAAATTCGGTATTAACAAGTAGACGTCACAATTAAAATAATATTAAAACATAGGACAGACTCACTAAGTCACTACATGTAAAATTTTACTTATTACTAAATTTTACTAAATTTTACATGTATTGTCCTTATTCGTTTTTTAGTTTGTTCATATTTTTGTGAATCGAGTGAATCGTTCAAATCATTAAATATGTAAAATATAGGTAAGAGAGAGACAGAAGATAAATTTTTTCTCTCTTTCCCTCTTAAGAATAAAAATGTTTCCTTTGTAAATAGATTTAACATTTATTATTATTATTATTCTTTTTTAATTCTGTTCAGATTTGTCTTGAGCCTCGTGGCCTCGAGGCATATTAAATTATAAATTAAAACTTGTTAATATCACAAGAAAGTTCAAATGTGTACTTATATATACAAGAAACAACAATTAAATTTTGTATCCGTCAATGTTAGACAAATTGACAGTTGTATCACAAAACAATATTTTGTTTTTAATATTATTATTATCATTATATTGTCATTTTTAAATACTTATATCAACCCCTCTGTGCCTCAGTGGTAAGAGCGCCTACCTTTGAACCTAAAGGTCGTGAGTTAGAATTCCACCTGGGTGGAAATTTTCGTTTATTAAAAATTAATAAATGAAAATAGTTTCTATCCTTGTGCTATCGGTACTCACCAGAGGGACCGCAGACGTTCGGATACAATTAGCGTCTCTTAGCAAAGACAATGACGTCGACTTTGGTAAGTATCAAGACAATTACTTTACACACACACACACACACACACACACACACACACACACACACACACACACACACACACTACACTAGGTACCTGACTGTACCATGCCAATGATTATAGTTGTCGA